GATTGATTGATGAAGATTAAGCCACCCAAGAGGTGGCACGGGCATGAATAGCCCGTAAGTGGTGGCCCTTTTGAGCCATTACCAGTATCAAGAGCTGATACTGGAGATCTGTGGAGGTGCGACTGCACCCTACGTGACGGGAGATGTCTCCCGTGCTGGGCCGTACGACCATCAGTGAAGTAAATATGGATAATTATTCGCGGTAAATACAGGTATCGTTCATGTTACAAACGTGAGCATAATGACATGAGTGATAACTCTAGTAGTGTGGAAAGGAGATACAATACCTGTTTATAAACAAAGCCATGACTGAATAGCCTTGCATAAGTAAAAATATATTTTCGCGGGGAATATAATTTAGTTATACATTATTCATTGTCATGTGGCATGAATAGCCCGTCCTCCCGCGTTGTTACGTCACAATGATGACGTTCTAAAAACTGACCTGACCTGACCTGACCTAACCTGACCTGACCTAACCTGACCTGATCTAACCTGACCTGACCTGACCTGACCTAACATCACCTAACATGACCTGACCTGACCTAACCTAATCTAACCTGACCTGACCTGACATAACCTAACCTGACCTACCTAACCTGACCTAACCTAACCTAACCGAGGACCCACGAAATAGAAACTGGGACATCCCGTCATTTTTGTGCGAGCCGCTATGAGTTATAGTACATCATATTATGCTCGTTGGGGGATTGATCCACGCAAATTGCTATGCACGACGGGTTGACGACACGAGGAATGCCCCCAAGCCACCAATCCTGCAGACCATGACTGGCCTATCATGCTAAATCAGCTAAAACAAAGTTAAATATTGACGTTGACCAGACCACACACTAGAAGGTGAAGGGACGACGACGTTTCGGTCCGGCCTGGACCATTCTCAAGTCGAATATTAAATATTGACTGCGGGGAACGTCTCGTGTTCCTTGGCCACTATTGGCGGCCGTCGATGACAGTAATTTTCCAGTGACCAGGTCCACCCATCACCGAGTCTTCACCTCCACGACACCATCACCTAAAGGTTTTTGTCGTCAAGACTCATGCATTATTGTTTTTTTTTTAGGATAAGGAAGGTTAATTATGATAGTTCTGTTTCCAGTAGCGTAGAGGATCTGGCGTCTGGCAGAACTGTATCCGAATAATACAATGACTTTGGGTCAGTATCCGAATAATACAATGACCTTGGGTCGGTATCCGAATAATACAATGACTTTGGGTCGGTATCCGAATAATACAATGACTTTGGGTCGGTATCCGAATAATACAATGACCTTGGGTCGGTATCCGAATAACGCAATGACCTTGGGTCGGTATCCGAATAATACAATGACTTTGGGTCGGTATCCGAATAATACAATGACCTTGGGTCGGTATCCGAATAACGCAATGACCTTGGGTCGGTATCCGAATAACACAATGACCTTGGGTCGGTATCCGAATAACGCAATGACCTTGGGTCGGTATCCGAATAACACAATGACCTTGGGTCGGTATCCGAATAACGCAATGACCTTGGGTCGGTATCCGAATAACACAATGACCTTGGGTCGGTATCCGAATAACGCAATGACCTTGGGTCGGTATCCGAATAATACAATGACCTTGGGTCGGTATCCGAATAATACAATGACCTTGGGTCGGTATCCGAATAATACAATGACCTTGGGTCGGTATCCGAATAATACAATGACCTTGGGTCGGTATCCGAATAATACAATGACCTTGGGTCGGTATCCGAATAATACAATGACCTTGGGTCGGTATCCGAATAATACAATGACCTTGGGTCGGTATCCGAATAATACAATGACCTTGGGTCGGTATCCGAATAATACAATGACCTTGGGAAGGTATCCGAATAATACAATGACCTTGGGTCAGTATCCGAATAATACAATGACCTTGGATACCTGAATGGGGTTCTGGGAGTTCTTCTACTCCCCAAGCCCGGCCCCGGGCCCGGCTTGACTTGTCAGAGCTTGGTCCAACAGGCTGTTGCTTGGAGCGGCCCGCTGGCCCGCATATACACTACAGCCCGGTTGGTCCGGCACTTCCTGTAGAAAAGTGTCTAGTTTCTTCTTGAAGACTGACACTTTTGTTTCGGCAATATTTCTTATACTCGCTGGGAGGGTGTTGAACAACCGTGGACCTCTTATGTTTATACATTTCTCTCTGATTGCGCCTATAGCACCCCTGATCTTCACTGGTTCTATTCTGCATTTTCTTCCATATTCTTCACTCCAGTACATTGTTATTTTACATTGTAAAATTGAGACCTAGCCCTCCAGTACCTTCCATGTATAGTATTTGATACCTTTCTCCTCTCCTTTCTAGAGAGTACAGTATGTTGTTATTTTACTGTGTAGATTTGGGACCTGACCCTCCAGTATTTTCCATGTGTATATTATTTGGTATCTCTCTCGTCTCCTTTCTAGAGAGTACATTTGGAGAGCTTTGAGACGATCCCAATAATTTAGGTGCTTTATCTCGTCTATGCGTGCCGTATATGTTCTCTGTATTCCCTCTATTTCAGCAATCTCTCCTGCTCTGAAGGGGAAGTATCACATATGTATCACAGTATTATACCACCACCAGTGTGATGTGTCACTATTATACCACCACCAGTGTGATGTGTCACTATCATACCACCACCACCAGTGTGATGTGTCACTATTATACCACCACCAGTGTGATGTGTCACTATCATACCACCACCACCAGTGTGATGTGTCACCATCATACCACCACCACCAGTGTGATGTGTCACTATCACACCACCACCACCACCAGTGTGATGTGTCACTATCATACCACCACCACCACCAGTGTGATGTGTCACTATCATACCACCACCACCACCAGTGTGATGTGTCACTATCATACCACCACCACCAGTGTGATGTGTCACTATCATACCACCACCACCACCAGTGTGATGTGTCACTATCATACCACCACCACCAGTGTGATGTGTCACTATCATACCACCACCACCAGTGTGATGTGTCACTATCATACCACCACCACCAGTGTGATGTGTCACTATCACACCACCACCAGTGTGATGTGTCACTATCACACCACCACCACCAGTGTGATGTGTCACTATCACACCACCACCACCAGTGTGATGTGTCACTATCATACCACCACCACCAGTGTGATGTGTCACTATCACACCACCACCACCAGTGTGATGTGTCACTATTATATCACCACCACCAGTGTGATGTGTCACTATCACACCACCACCACCAGTGTGATGTGTCACTATCACACCACCACCACCGGTGTGATGTGTCACTATCACACCACCACCACCAGTGTGATGTGTCACTATTATATAACCACCACCAGTGTGATGTGTCACTATTATACCACCACCACCAGTGTGATGTGTCACTATCACACCACCACCACCAGTGTGATGTGTCACTATCACACCACCACCACCAGTGTGATGTGTCACTATCACACCACCACCACCAGTGTGATGTGTCACTATCACACCACCACCACCAGTGTGATGTGTCATTATCACACCACCACCACCAGTGTGATGTGTCACTATCACACCACCACCACCAGTGTGATGTGTCACTATCATACCACCACCACCAGTGTGATGTGTCACTATCACACCACCACCACCAGTGTGATGTGTCACTATCACACCACCACCACCAGTGTGATGTGTCACTATCACACCACCACCACCAGTGTGATGTGTCACTATCATACCACCACCACCAGTGTGATGTGTCACTATCACACCACCACCACCAGTGTGATGTGTCACTATTATATCACCACCACCAGTGTGATGTGTCACTATCACACCACCACCACCAGTGTGATGTGTCACTATCACACCACCACCACCAGTGTGATGTGTCACTATCACACCACCACCACCAGTGTGATGTGTCACTATTATATCACCACCACCAGTGTGATGTGTCACTATTATACCACCACCACCAGTGTGATGTGTCACTATCACACCACCACCACCAGTGTGATGTGTCACTATCACACCACCACCACCAGTGTGATGTGTCACTATCATACCACCACCACCAGTGTGATGTGTCACTATCACACCACCACCAGTGTGATGTGTCACTATTATACCACCACCACCAGTGTGATGTGTCACTATCACACCACCACCACCAGTGTGATGTGTCACTATCATACCACCACCACCAGTGTGATGTGTCACTATCACACCACCACCACCAGTGTGATGTGTCACTATCACACCACCACCACCAGTGTGATGTGTCACTATCACACCACCACCACCAGTGTGATGTGTCACTATTATACCACCACCACCAGTGTGATGTGTCACTATCACACCACCACCACCAGTGTGATGTGTCACTATTATACCACCACCACCAGTGTGATGTGTCACTATCACACCACCACCACCAGTGTGATGTGTCACTATTATACCACCACCACCAGTGTGATGTGTCACTATCACACCACCACCACCAGTGTGATGTGTCACTATTATATCACCACCACCAGTGTGATGTGTCACTATCACACCACCACCAGTGTGATGTGTCACTATTATACCACCACCACCAGTGTGATGTGTCACTATCACACCACCACCACCAGTGTGATGTGTCACCATCATCAGTGCTCGCGTGTGTATCATACATCAATTTGACATTCGAGAAGGCGAGATGATTTTCGGTTATATTCAACAGCAACATGGCGTTCCTTTGAAGAGGACAAGCCAAGGGGTGATGAGCCCCGCGCACGCACCCTCGCCGCGATTACCAACACGCGGCCGCTGACGGCACGGCAGCACGCGCAGCCGTGCCACTCCGTACAAAAATCAACTGGAAAAGCAATGAGGTGACTCGAACCAGCGACTCGGTAGACTCCAATCGTGGACTCTCTTCCCCGTGTGTGTGTGTGTATGAAGCCGAAGCTCTATCAACCAAGCTATTGTGCTCCCCGCCGCGCTCCTTAAATTTTTTTAAATTTTGCCCCGAGGGGGGAGTTTATTGGGCAGCGCCACTCATCTTGTGAGTGGACACACCGCCATAGTGACAGTATTGGGCAGCGCCACTCATCTTGTGAGTGGACACACCGCCATAGTGACAGTATTGGGCAGCGCCACTCATCCTGTGAGTGGACACACCGCCATAGTGACAGTATTGGGCAGCGTCACTCATCCTGTGAGTGGACACACCGCCATAGTGACAGTATTGGGCAGCGCCACTCATCTTGTCAGTGGACACACCGCCATAGTGACAGTATTGGGCAGCGCCACTCATCTTGTCAGTGGACACACCGCCATAGTGACAGTATTGGGCAGCGCCACTCATCCTGTGAGTGGACACACCGCCATAGTGACAGTATTGGGCAGCGCCACTCATCTTGTGAGTGGACACACCGCCATAGCAGCAGGTACAACACTCCCCAATAGGAAGAAAACCCGCTGGGTTGTTCATCCTGTCTTACTCCCGTGTGAATGGTTTATTATGCAAGTCGGAATCCCTCCGAATCTTCCCGAACTTCACCCATGAGCTGGTGTCTCAGATCCGCACGCTGACTGCCCCTTGAGTTGTGGACTTAAAGGGTGGGTGTTGAGACGCACTCGTGCAGAGACAATGTGTGGGTGTACATAGCGAACTAGTCGGTAGTTGAGTGTTCTCTGTCACGTCTTATGAGATAGTTAGGATGCGGCCTCGTCCAACTACGGTGTTCTGATTACACACTCACACAGGCGCCAAGGTAATCACTTTTCACTACACATTGCCCAAAAGGTAATTTCGGGTTTGCGTGCATTTGTTACATTTGAATACGTAAGAATACAGGCAATCCAGATAGTTAGACTTGGCTGATAGTCACGAGGACTGAACATAGCTGGTCTCTCGGTTACCATCTAATGATTCCGAGGACCAATGTCCCCGCGGCCCGGTCTCGGACCAGGCCTCCTGGTTTGTGGACCGGTCAGCCAAGCTGTTTGACGCAGCTGCTCAGAGCCTGACGTATGAATCACAGCCTGGTTGATCACGTACCCTAGAAAGGTTATACACGGCTGAGAGTCAATGAGGACGCACTTTAAGCCACAAGTGCTACAGACCATGACTGACTTACTGTATTAAATCCTACTGTATAAATCAACACTGAATAAATCCTACTGTATAAATCAGCACTGTATAAATCAGCACTGAATAAATCCTACTGTATAAATCAGCACTGAATAAATCCTACTGTATAAATCAACACTGAATAAATCCTACTGTATAAATCAGACTGTATAAATCCTACTGTATAAATCAACACTGAATAAATCCTACCGTATAAATCAGCACTGAATAAATCCTACTGTATAAATCAACACTGAATAAATCCTACTGTATAAATCAGACTGTATAAATCCTACCGTATAAATCAGCAAAAACAAAGGCCTAAATATTCTGTGTAGAGAGAGCTCAGATACCGGACACTCTTGAGAGCACAAACAGTTGCACAAAAGTGGCAGCAACACAATTGTCAACCTAGACACAAACACTAGACATAAACACTAGACATAAACACTAGACACAAACACTAGACATAAACACTAGACATAAACACTAGACACAAACACTAGACATAAACACTAGACATAAACACTAGACATAAACACTAGACACAAACACTAGACACTAGACATAAACACTAGACATAAACACTAGACATAAACACTAGACACAAACACTAGACATAAACACTAGACATAAACACTAGACATAAACACTAGACACAAACACTAGACATAAACACTAGACATAAACACTAGACACAAACACTAGACATAAACACTAGACATAAACACTAGACATAAACACTAGACACAAACACTAGACATAAACACTAGACATAAACACTAGACA